GGAGCCTCATAGGGAATCAAGTGAACTCACTCTCGGACATGTGATAGCCCTTCTTGATTCCCGCATGCTGACCGTACCCATACCGAGTGTTGTTCAAGAGTATCCATGCGCCCTTCGTCCACCAATCATAGAATACCCATTGCCAGCGGGAATTCCTCAACTTTGGATGCGCATAGGCAGTGTCGAAGAGGCAGTTCCAATTGGTGTCAATCGGGGACGGGTTGTATTCGGCTTCCCTCTTGCCCATGACAACGAAGCGCTCCACATGCTGGGAGCGTCCCAAATTAGTATAGAGGAGATGGCTCCTGTTTTCGAGGCATAGCTCACCTTAGGTGCCAGGACGAATCCATTTCGATGGCAAAGCGTCACTGAGTTGGTGGGAGAAGTCACGGCAAAATATGCCATGTCCATTGCCGTTTCTCCTACACCGAGCACCACGACATTGCTGCCTTCGGTGAATATGTCCCGGCCTTTGTACTGGGAGGAGTGAATGACAGTCGGAACTTTCTCGATGCCGGGAATGTTGGGTGCAACAGCATCTACGTGCAGTCCTGAGCACACCGCAACGGCATCACAAGACCATTCCTCGGTGCTTCCATCTGCGGTAGAAAGGGCCACGATATGGCCCTTGCCATCTTTGGCACGTCGCACATTTGTCACTGTGGTGTTAAGCTCGATATGTGGTCGTAAGTTGAAATGGTCGCAGTAGTTGTTGAGGTATTCAACGTATTGATAGAGCTTGAGAAAATCACCGCAATCAGTGCGTTCAGGTGGGATCCTGAAGTCTGAGAAAATGGTCAACTGCTTTGAAGACACCATCTACTCCAAGTCAGCCCTGCCACTGTCTGAAATTTGGATGAGACCCCAGTAATTTACCTCGCCCTCGGGATAGGTGCGATAGCGGAATGTGCCTCCAATGTCATCTTTAGTCTCAAAGAGCCTGGCCTCAATGGGTTCAATGGGGAAATCCTTATTCGCCTGGAGGAGGTACTTCAACGTCACCAGACCTCCAGGCCCTGCTCCAATGATGGCAACACGCATTTTCACCACTGTTCACTGGAAGACGTGTGCTTGAAGGTTGAGGACAGGGAGGGTTACACAGCAGGGGGAGGTCTTCAAGACCCGGAAGATTGGGACGACTCGGCATCGATTTCATGATCTCCCCACTTCCACGTTGACATGTACCGAGCGACAACTTCTTCAAGGTGTGTGCAGGAAGCTGACGAGGGAGCGATGTCCACGTATCATGAGTGGATCTGTTAGCTTTGAGTCTCTTTATGGTGTATCCCATTTTGGCCTCTGGCTGGAAGACCCAACCAGGTCTCGACTAGACTCCCGACGGGCCGTCAATAGCTGGATCGTGAGTGGAACATTCCAAAAAGCAAGGCTAAAGGGAACGATATAGGAGGGGGGCGCAGAGATACGAGTGGTTGAGAACGACATGTTGGCGCTGCAAGTCAACTGCAGTTTAAACTGCAGTTTAAAGCGGCAGTTGTCATCTGGGCATGTGGGCATCGGTGGCATCTTCGGGTGAACTCGAGAGAAAGTTTTGGCGGTGCTGGAACTGCCAAGAGTTTTTATTTCCGCAGTTGCGCAGGTGTTCGAGCTTCCAAGGCGTGGCCGACAAGCGACAGCTAGGTCCAATCCGTCACGACCTCTACCCTGCGAGTTGACTAAAAGTACATCCAGGGTATGTCAAAGTAAGGCCATTAACAAGACCATTCAACTGTTGACATTCCCACAATAGCCGCGACAATGGGTGCAGGTCAATCCAAACCCGACGAATCCACCAAGCATGTCTTCACAAGTGATACACCTATTCAATTTTCTCAAGAGTATGTTCTGGAGGCCAGATTTTGAGATGTTGGCATATCGCCATTCAAAACCATGAACTGACAAGCTTTACAGGCTAATAGACTCCCTTCAAGCATCCTCAGAAGTATGTCTACTGCCCTCGCGATCGGAAAGACGTCCTTCACTGAAAGCCACCGAGAGAGTTATACTCACGTATCCTTCTTGACATAGACAAACTCGACCCGCGCAAAGACGCTAGAGCTGCACATTGCCCAACGCGTCGCCGCCGAGCTAGAAAAGATCCGAAAGCACGAAGCTTCGGTCCTTGAGGAGGCGCGCAAGAAGATTGCTGCGAGCGGAGAAGCAGCCTCAGATTCCCCTTCTTCAGACTCGTCTCTTCTTCACCTCTCGCCGATATCCCCGAAAGACCTTCTCCCGGGATCTGATAGTGATGACCAAAAGAAAGCGCCGTCGAGTCAGAAAGTGCAGCAAGAGATTGAGAAATTGAAGCAAACACTGGGTCAGCGGAAAACGTTAAGAGAGCTGCCGAAGGAGGTAGAGAATGCGTAAGTCGGACATTCCTAGAATATCGTGTTCTAGCATGTTCAAGCTAACAGTTGGGCAATTAGGAGACAAGATGTCATCTCTTGCCTGCGGATAAACGACCGAAAGCCGCTCGACTGCTGGAAGGAGGTGGAGATCTTCAAGCGGGAAGTACGGAAGATGGAGGATAATTATGTCTCATCAGTTCTGTAAAGCTAAGCCTACGTGTCGGAAAGCTCGCGCTCCGCCCAAGGCTCCGGATCGAATGTATATAGGGGAAAAAGGGCGCTATCACATCCAAATGGAATCAAAAGGATTGCAAACAACTAAACCTATGGCTCGAATGCAGAGTATCTATCCCATTTCGCACCAGGGGCAGGCAAATACGCTTGTCTAATATTGAATTAGATTTCCTGAGAGCACTTGGCGGGTCGACAGCAGAGTTTGCAGACGACCATCTTTCAGGATGTGATGGTCTTCTCAGACAACACGAGGAGGCGCGTACCCGCGAGATCTTCGGGAGTTCGTTCTTGAGCTCTTGCAACAGTTACTGGACGCGTCGCGGGCCTCGGTATTTGGTAGTAGAGTTGATTCGAGCAGTTGCTGCAATGTGTTAAACCTCATGCCACATTCACAAGTCGTCACTGAGACTATGCTCATCTATGATTGTTGGTGGCATCAGCAACCTGGACCGCCAACTTCATTTCCGAGTCGGGATCGTGAATTCGCCTTCGGTCTTGTTCACAATGTGGTCTTTGCCCAATTCATGGACGCAAGGCATAAGTTTCGGCGAACACCTCCAAGCATACACAGCAGATGAATCGAGAGTGCAATTCTTGTCTCCTGGCAACGTGAACGGACACAATCAGATCGATGCCGCTCAATATCGTAATAGAGGGCCGGTCATGGAAGCAGAAGGGTCTTATGCGTCAGGTGTCGAACTCAGGCTCCCTGCAATTCTTTCCTAACAATCCAAGCGCCGCTCGGTCTCAGCTTTCTGTAATACTGCTCAATAAGCATTACTCGTTTGAAGCCGCGTCTGGCGTACCACTCCAGCGCGTCTTCGTTCTTCTCCCACACGTGTGCATATATGCACACTGCGTCCATTTCATGGGCACTGGCCGATGACAAGATAGTGTCCAGCAGTAGCGTTGCGAGGCCGAGACCACGGTATGGCGAGAGCAGAGCTAGAGCCTGAATATAAATCTGAGAAGGTGGAGGGTGAGACTGAGTCATGAGGGAAGTATTCGTCGAGCATGGCTCGAAGCGGCAGCGAATCCAGCCAACAGGTTCTGACGCATACAGAACGACTCGAGACACATTGCTGACAACCGTGTCTGTGACTGTTGTGGTAAAGAAAGCATCGCTGTACCGAACAGGGAGGGTCGTAACTGTGAGGCGCCGGATTGCAGAAAGGTGTTGGGGTGAGACTGGAGCAATAAGAGCCTCCGGAAGGCGAGGAATTAAAACAACGTTGAATTGCTGCAGACGGTCACTTGTGCGGTCCTTAGCATCATATCTCCTGCTTTGGGGTTGATCTTCTTCAAATTTTGGTGTGGTGACAGCTGGATTGGCCTTTGGCTGAGCCGATTGTTTTCGTGCTGCCTCGATGATACCCAGACCGCGGCTTTCGGTGACTGGTAGACACGTGTCGTGCTCGGTCGTCAGAAGACTGTCTTTTCTGGCAGCTGGCTGGACGGTGGATGTTGGAATCGTCGGTTTTGAGAAATACGAGAGGAGGCTAGCTTGAGGCATGTCCAGATAGCATTTTCCCTTGGAGCCAGACCTCGTTCTGAAGCTAGGACACTGCTCTCGAGGACCGTGGCTACGAGAATCGATAGCGCGATGTGCAGGGGGCAGTCAACGTGTCAACCCAAAACTCCCGCTGAACCGACAAGCCAGGGGCGGTAGTTACCGGCGCTAAAAACAAGGTTATCGATGCTTATTGAGTAATCTTAGCGAACCCAAGAACCCTAAGCAGAGCCCCAGAACCTGGCCATTTTATTTTCAGCGTCCTGCATCATCGGTGCTTGCTTTCGCAGCCGTTGCGAACCCTCGAACCACTGTCCGCGTCTGGCCAATATAGCCATACCCCGTCTCCTGTTGGAACACTTCTCGAGTTTGTCTTCACCATCTAGTCTCCGAACCCCTACGGACTCCAAAGGTGTGCCTTTGCCGCGCACGAGCCTCCCCGAGCGTGCCCGAGGTCCTTACCCACAGTGCGTGCGCTTCCTGGCCAGCCATCGTCGACCTTTCCTGAGCGAGACAATACAAACCGAGTGGCACTGAAAAACATTAATGGGTGCTATTGAATGAATAAGAGGTTGTAGGGTGCGGCAGGGTGTGAAGGTGTCTGAATAGGCAGAGTGCGTTGGCACAGAAGTCATCCACACGGTTCACAATACTAGTAAGTGAATACACTGCTGGACAATAGTGTACAGCACTATGAATCGTGTTATTCTTGCTATTGTGTGGTTTTCAATGGAGCATCAGGCTTCTGCTGCGATGCCTCTTCTTTTAAAACCACTCTCCTCTTCCTCCTCCCTCGGAGTGTACACGAACAAGAGAAGACAAGCACAGATCTCTCCTTCTATCCCTGTCTTTCATACTGCAAACTGCTGCTGGTCAGCCTTTGCTCCTTCCCTTGTGTTTGCTTGTCCAAGATGGCTCCCAGACGACCATATACGTCCTTGTTCCCTAACAGCATCATCGACCCCGACCTGTGGAAGCGCTTCATGGAAGATGAGGAAATCACTGCTGACTGTCCACCTCCAGTCAAGGACACTGCTGACATGGCTTCCACGAAATCGTCCCAATCCAAGTCATCCAATGTCAGCTTGACTGCGTCTGATCAAGAGCAGGCGGTTAGTGTTCCAGGAAAGCCCGCCTCGTGCTTCTTCCACTGACTAGTTCCAGATCACGTATATCTTGGAGCATTCAATTGAAAGTATCCTTCATGATCTTCTGCTTGAAATCCATCAAGACGAAAAGATTGCTCGGATGCAGACTGCCGTCCTTGAAGTCGAACAGAGAGCTGAGAAACTTACAAACAAGAACTCTCAAGATGCCGATGCCGACAATACTGAACAAGAAGCTGTCGAAACTGATGCTGCGGTGTTCAAGTCCGGTCAAGTTCATCTCAAGGGCAATCCGATGAAGACAGTCAAACACATCAGATGTCCGAATTGTCGTCTCCGCCGCTTGCTATACCCTCGTGTTGGTTACAATGCGCGTCCTGTCCCAGATGCCACTGAACAGTACTGCAAGACCGAACCCATGATTGTTCTCGACAAACATGATGTGCATGGTCAACGCAAAAAAGGAGTCAAAGTCAAGGGTCAGGCAAAGGGCAAGAACAAGAAGAAGAAGGATGACCCAACCTCACCCGCTGCATCCGAAAACTCAGATCCACTGACTCCATCTTCATCCATGCCCGCTGAGTCGTTTGAATTCAAGGAGATCGACTATCCGGCTGCCAAATGTCCAAATCGCGACTCTCATCTCGGTGATCACTGGAAATCCGTCAATGTCTTTGCCACTCATCTCAACGGAAGTTGCTACCTGAAGAAGGATCGTGCGGCTGGCCGTGAAGCAAACGCGAAGATTGGTGGTACTCCACGTGACAGCAGGGCCAACTCGCCGAAACCAAGCGGTGGTGCCGGCGTCAAGAGAAAGGCCGAGGACGACGAGAAGGGCACGGGCCCAGGCACCAAGAACAAGAAGCAGAGGACTGGTGCGGAGGGAAAGAGGGGGGACAAGAAGGCTCCTCCGAGCAAGTTGAAGGAAGTCAACAATGTTGACGACGGCAAGGTGGGCGGAAGCCCGTTGAAGGAGGTCAACGGCGACACGACCCAAGCGACGCCAACCAAGGCGGCAAGAGACGCGAGCTCTGAGCCGCAAATCAAGCTCAAGCTCAAGGCGGGGGCTGGCGGCGGTGCTGGAGAGGGGCCCGCTCGCAAGAGGCCGAGCAAGGCCAACAAGAAGGAAAGATGAAATGTAAGACTAATACAATGGGCATGGCGGGAGCGGCTCTTGTGGCTTCTTTTCTATTGGCGTCCAAGGGGGAGTGTCGCCTCAACGACACCCACCTGTGGTGGAGACAGGTGGTAGACAATATCATGAAGTTCATCAAACCTGGTTTTTCCTGGAGACGTCTGTCTCGCATCTACTAGTGTTCTCGTCGTCTTTGTTCCGAGCAAGACGTCTTGCGTAACCGCGAGACGTGCTGTTATAGCTGGAGCATGTATACAAGTCTCCTTCCGGAAGTTGTCAACGACACACTCCTCATCGCCGTCGGGGACTGCTACCATTCGATCCGGTTCGCTCCTGACACATTCGATACGTACATGATTCCAGTGGTCGCCGATTCCAGTCCTTAGTACAGCACGGTAGCAACAACATCCGTCCACCCCACCAATCTTCCGCGCATTAGGACCCGTAGCCACAACCACTTTACCATCGGATCACCTGTTAGGAACCAGGCAGGATCTTCATGCAGGACAACGCCCCTATTCACAAGGCCAATGAGGTCCAGAAATGGCTGGATAACCATGGGATAAAGGTCATGGCTTGGCCGCCACATTCGCCAGATTTAAACCCCATCAAGAAACACCGGTGAGCTGAAACGCCTCGCCAAAGAGATCGATCCTGACCTCAGGAATACTGCTGGAGATAGCGAGGCCCTCGGAGAAGGATTTACAAAGCGCAATAACTAGGGCGTGGGCCACGATTAGCCCTGGAAAGATCAAGGCGGTTGTCAAGTCGATGGATACCAGGATCAAACCAGGATCAACGCTGTGATCGCCGCAGAGGGCTGGTATACGCGATACTAGTCGCCTTTTTTTTTTCTTTTCGCGGAACTAGTTCTATGATACCTAAGCTAGACATCCTACAAATTGTATTAAATTCTCATAGAAATTGAGTGTGAAATGGCTACATTGTGTAGTGGTGGCAGTGGTGGAAACACTTGGATATTTTTGCTACCGTGCTATATTGTGCTCAAAGAGCGCTGGGTTGGCGTTAGATCCGACGACTCAATCAACACCACCACCACAGGCACTTATGTAACCTCATGAGCCTCGGGGATTCCCCGCAGGTAACATGGCCTCAACGATGTTGCCCGTGGCGCCGCCCTCGCGACTGTGCCAGATCTTGACCATCTTCAACCCGGCGGCTTCCAGGATCTTGTTGAATCCGTCAGCGGTCCGCTCCTTGCCACCCATCACCATGACGGTGTTGTCCATGGCGGCTGCGGGCAGGTCGGCTTCGTGCACGCGCTTGGGCATGACCATGTCGGCAATGAGGACTTTGCTGTCCGGGCCCATGGCCTCGCGCAGGTGAGCGAGGATCTTGACGCAGTTTTCGTCCGAGTAGTCGTGCACGACGCGGCGAAGGAAGTACGCCTTGGCACCTTTTACAGGCTGCGGTGTCCAGAAGTCGTGGACCATGGCGGTAACGCCCTCGGGGAGGAGTTTGGAGTTTTGGGCCTGGGCGATGGGTTCGGGTAGATCTTGGAGAACCATGTGGTCAGGGCGGAGGGTCGGGAAGGCCTGGAGGATCTGGATGATAGACTGGCCTTGGCCGCCACCGACGTCGACCAGCGTGGCTCTGTCCCCATCGTGCTCTGGGTCGTAGAGCGCAGAGTAGTCGTAAAAGCCGATGATCGGGACGGAATCCTCTTGGGACATGAAGCCCAGTTGAAACGCGCGCAGGCGATCGGGGAACTGTGCCATGATCTCCCACACAGGATGTCCGTCCATGCCGTGGCGGTGGGTGTATGGATTGCGGAGAGGATCATCAGGCTCTTGCACAGGCTTGCCGTCCTGGGCTGCTCGTTCTTTCACATAGCTGTGAAAATGGACCAATGTGGCCAGGCACTCATCGTTGATGAACTGGAAGAAGTTTCCCGGCCCGGGCACCTGGATGTATGCTCGGGAGAACTTTGTGTGCACGTACTCATATTCAGGGGTCTGCTCGACGAATTTAGTGCCAACGAGGAGTCGAAGTTGTCGTTCTTTCGAGATACACCCATCAGTCTTGCTTTGGCAAAAAGAAGGCGTGAGCCAGTACCTAGCAGTGAGTCCTGGACGCCTGTGACCCTGGACAACTCGGCCAGAGAGATGGATCCATCCACGGGGATCTTTTCGAACACGCCCAGGCCCATCAAGGTTCGAATGCAAACAATCTCCAGCATCTGCCATTGGTCAGCAATCTGTCAGTCCACGGAAACCGGGGTCAAATCGTCACGGACGTTGACCGAGTGGTGCATTGACATATCCGACGGTGCCATCACGAGACGAACAATGTCCTTGGCGATGGCGGCGACATTGGTCCTGGAGATGTAGCCCTGGGAGCCTGGTGCATAGTCACAGGCATTGGCGGCTACAGTGAGTTGCTGTATCAGCTCCTGCAGCTGAGCAGCTTGATCTTGTTCTGGGGAGGGCGACATCATCAAACCCTGTATAGCTTCTATAGCATGAGATGCACAGAGAGCACAAGGGTGCCTTGACAGTGAAAAGGGCGCTGTCTCAAAGGCTCGAGGGAACAGGTGGGTAGAGGAAGGGATGGATCGACAGGAATTGGATTCCGCAGTTGTTGAGGCACAAACCAGTCACTCCAGTGTCTGGCATGGGTGTGAGCAGGGGCCATCGCGGGCCAGACGCCGAACTCGTAGGCTTCATGTTGCAGTGGCCTAGTAACAAGGGAGTTAGATTTTTCGCTTGGATGTCAGGATGTGTCGCAGGTGTTCGTTTGTTGGTTCATATTGGTGGCTGATAAGAATGGCCTGGACTGCGGAGAACTACAAACTGCAACCTCACACGAGCTCGTCCTTGACCGTTTAGCCGCCGAAACCCCACACAACAAAATCCATCTGGCTACTACAACACGTGGAAGAAGAGACCCTTGTACGAGTGGGCTCACCTTGTGGGCTCGCTAATGCCGACCCTACACGCATGTTCGCCTGTTCGCCTGTTGTGCTCACCCGCCGGGGTACCTTGAACCAGTCAGTCAACAGGCAGCGCGATGTGGAAAGGAAGACCCCATCAACCACGCATGAAGCTTACTCTTGCCTACCAGGTATCCCTTTCAAAAAGAAGCGCAGTACCCGCCTCCATCCCTCCTTCATCACCATGTCTTATCCCCGCTTGCACAGCTTCTCATTCTGGAGCTTCGCCCTCCTGACACGCAACCTCTCCCATTTGACCTCAAACTTGCCTCATGGAGCCTGACCAAAACAACGACTTTGTCGACGAAGGCTATGATAGCACGTCCGCAAACACCAGCTATGTGACAAGGTGATAGTCTCTTTGTATGCTTATAGGTTTGAGATGCTGACCCCGAGAGTAGTATAGCAACCGAGATCCGCGACGGCATTGAAGAGTATGGCCGACGATGGGCGTCTTATGGGAGACATTTCTACGGTCTGCCAATCGACGATGAAGAACAGAACCGAAATGACCTCCAGCATTACAAGTTCTTCCTTCTTTATGAAGGACGGCTCCACCTGGCTCCCATCGACCCAGAACCCCAGAACATCTTGGATTTGGGTACGGGGAGCGGGATCTGGGCTATCGAGACTGCCGACAGGTATCCTACGGCAAGGGTTGTTGGCGTTGATATTGCGGCCGTGCAGTCCAACTGGGTGCCACCAAACTGTCACTTCGAGATTCTGGACGTCGAGACGGACTGGGAATTTCCCAGGAACACGTTTGACCTGATCCATGCCCGGGAGTTCCTTTTCTCCATCAGAGACTGGCCTACCCTTATATCGCAGGCATATGAACACCTCAAGCCGGGCGGGTATTTCGAACTTGCTATCACAGTCCCCGAGGTCGGCTGTGACGATGACAGCTGTCCAGCGGATTCGAACTACACTGAAATGGGCAAGCTCTTCTTCAAGATTGCACAAGCAATGGGTATCGACGGTTATGCCTGTAAATTGTGGAAGCAGCAATTACTGGACTGTGGCTTTGAAGACGTGCAGCAGACCATCTTCAAAATTCCGACAAATCGGTGGCCGAAAGATCGAAGGCTGAAAACGATTGGGGCGCTCGAGGTCCACAACTTCTTTCAGTACGCGCAGGCTGGCTTTGAGAGAGGTGCTATCGCGCTGCTCGGAATGGATCCAGCAGAGCTTCAGGTGATGCTAGCCCGAACGAGGAAGGAGATTCTGGATCGAAACATCCACACGTATGTGCAATTGTAAGTGATCTCAATGTCGGGAGTCTGTGCGACTTTGATGGCTGACACAAACGAACCCAGCTACAACGTGTATGGGCGGAAGCCGGGCCCACCGGGATAGACGGTATGTCCTTGGGGACAAGCCCGATCACCATGGTTGGTGTCGGCGTGGAAATGGGATAGGTTGACGCATTTGCGAGAAACAAATCTGTGAACCAACTCATTGCGCGAGATATACGATCCAGGGGCCAAGTTGTCTCCGTCGAATGCTTTTGGCCGTCAGACACGCAAAAGCGTTTATCCTAGCACTAGGAATCAGAAAAAGGGCGGTCACGGCTATGAGACGAGTCCAGAATACCTCTTCTCGCCCTAATTTCTGCTTGCTTCGCCAGCACCACTCCGGGCAACTTACATGTCGGCCATCACGGTTCTTCCGTGTATATATGGCTCGAGACTAAAAACTTTCGAAGTGTGCTGCAATGGGAGAGCTGGAATCTTGAGGACACCTCTGTGATGCAGGAAGCCGCCTTTATAGGCCCGTCTGTCCACATGTATATACGAGGACGCGCGTCTTTCTGGTGTGATTGGTGGTGAAGCCGAATGTGCAAGGCTGTCGGTTTAATGCCTAAACATCGGAAGCCAGTGAAGATCCACCCTCCCACTCTGTCTCAAGGGAGTTAAATTACAATGAGGCTGTGTTTCTTGCCCACTTCAAGATCGAATCTCGACACCCTGGTCGTCGCTGATGGCGCAGCTGCCACCCTCCAGCCCTGCATCTTAGAGGCCGCGGGCTGTGAGAGTGACGAGGACGA